CAAAACGAAATCAGGAACAGTTGTACAGCGCTTCGTATATATAGCGTAAGCGGCTATAACTTTCTGGAATTTCTGACGCGTTCTGGAGCTCCATTGGCAACCGGCATTTGGCCAATACTGGGTCATAATTGGCTGTTGGGTCCAGATTGTTGACCAATCAGATCTCGTCTTGATGCCGGACCGGCAAGCGTCCCGAATTTTGGGCCAACTCGAGCGGGCTGATGATGATGAATGAGGTATATATTTTGCAGGTCCAATTTGTATGAGACGCACCAACCAGAGACTGTTTACGAAGTTGTGGTAATAGCATCAGTCCTGAATTAAATTTCGACGCTGAATCCAGAACAGCTTTCGAAAGTCGGTCCAAGGAATATGTGAAAGGGATTACGAAAGGTTTAGACTGTATTATTGCGGTCGGCCTTCAAGCATGACGTCCCATGAACCCCGCGCATTTGGCTGGAGACATTGCAAGGAATGGCGAATGATCAATGTCAGTGGCCTTCGCATTGTCAGCTTTTTCTAGATTGTCCAGTTGTGCGCTTGGACACTTTAGAATGCTTGTGGTAGGCTAGCGCAGGTCTCTCCATACTCTTCTTTTTTCAAACCAAGAATTTAAGGACAGTCAAATAGACTTCGCGGCTGTACCGCAGTGAAGTATCCGTATCAACATTGGTGTTTTTGTCTCGGTTGATGATGTCACTCTTTCCAAAGTTTCAGAACCTCTTCCAACTTGTAGTTATTCCGACTTCACACTGCAGGTGATTTCAACGTTCCCGATATTAACTATGTTTCGTTTGCTTGTTCAGTGTTTGACTTCTAGGCATTGTTCTCCCTCCTACAACGCAGATAATTTGGGTCTCCTAACACTGGAGACCTTTATCCATTAGCATTCTAACCCATCTTCACAAGCGGGATGTAAATGTATGGAGATTCTCGGACACTTTCTAAACGTCTCAGAGGATCAATCTCTTGTCATACTGGAAGCATCGGTGTTGAACACTGCTGCCATGCTGTCGATGATGATGATGACTGGAAAACAAACTCCTTTTCGTTTGACCTGACCTGCTACAGGTCGTTTCCACCGAGTTACTCGTACTCCTCCCTGGGTTTGGTGATCTTCCAAGCGTCTCACTGGGTTTCCGAAGAGGTTTCCCGGCACCGGATTTTTTTAAAAGTGCTCGCTAGAATCATCCCAATATTAATTTTTCTAATTCGTGGTTTATTTTTTACTTTCAGTTGACCACCATTTGTGGTTCTATTCATCATGCAGCCAGCTGCTACCTATGTGAATTTGTCGATCACAAGCAATGCCTCGAAAATGCAATGCCAGAAGCGTTACCCTTCCGATTTAACTCTAGGCCAGCTAAAAGTACACCACCCATACGTCCTTGATCACAATGCTTTTAGGAAAAGCTAGTCCTTGTTACCGGATGTGACAATCGATCGATGAAAATCGAAATGTTCACAGAAGATGAGAAGTCCAAAGGCTGGCTGACAGATGACCATCAGACTTTGCACGCCTTAGGCGTCACCGATGGCATGCATCTGCATGTGACCGACCCAACTATCGCAGATGGAACGTTTGATAAACTTGAGGATGAATCAGTAACGTACCAGATATCGATGGAGGAATATGCCAAACGTCCTGGTAGGTTCTGTTTAATTTTCTACAAGTTTTTTGCCGGCCCACCGCAGATGTCTGTGTCTTCCACCCCACTCAACATGAGATGCATCCTTACATCGGTGCGCTTCATAACAAAAAAATGGATTTGGCAGTCATCTTCCTTTCCAGGACAGAGTGCGTAACTACCCAGCACCTTTCTAGGGCAGAGATCTAGCGAATAATCCTATTAATTGTAGAAGCGCTATTTTATTAAGAGACCGCAGTTCTAACAGGGTCTCATAGTCCCTTGGCTGGTAACGTGGATGCGACAGGAGTCGACCATTGGCTGGGGTCTTGTACGCACCCCTCCAATTGGTTATCCTCAGTGAGAGCTCTGCGTAATTTTTCAGGGACCACTAGTGGCACTGATCCACTGTTCGAGAGCATTCACCACTATTCACAATTTTAGAAAAGCTATGGTATGAGGTGTACCGTGGACTGACGTTTAACCAGGAGTTGGTTGACGTGCGAAGGTTAAGGCACGAAACTAATGATCCGAATTTCTGTGGTCCGAACTCAGCCCTGGATTTTTGGGAGTCCCGGTATCACCTCACCCCTTGTGCTCTTTTCGAGTTGTGTGGCCTGCAAGGTTCTCGGGTAAAGTGTGTAGAGGCACCGTTTCTCGAGCCTGACTTTTCGCGTGCCGTGCTTAGACACACCACCGAACGTGACACCCCTACGTTTTCAGTACTGGCTCTCGATGCATTGAGTTTACCGTCCTTAAATGAAACTACTAATCATCACCCAATAGCCGAAGAGCAATTCACGAGTGTGTAAAGTTAACATCTACTGTGCCCATTAAGTGCCATGGCCTGGCAGTTCCTATTCATTGTTGATTCCATTGATGATCACAGGTGTACTCGTCCTTCACCATATTTGTCCATTTGTTTTGCATCAACCAAGATAGCTTTTTGGCGTGGAAGAAAAAGAACAAACTGTGCGAGTTTCGCGAGGTCGACCCCGAGGAAGTGAGGCGAGAGGAAGAAGAACGCCAGAGGAAAGAGATGGAAGAAAAGGAAAAAGCCGAATCACTGCCAGTTGGTTCTCGGTACGTCCCTCGCCCTTTAATTCCGACCCGTTCCCCCGCTTCTCAAATGGGTTCCATGTGTGTCTACGTGTAAATTTACTAATACATTTAAGTAGGGGGACAGAAATGGTGCTAGGTAAACTCACGGTAAACAGGAGCAGTAAGAAAGATAGAAACTGGATTTCTGAGTTATGGTTGGTAGGTAATACCGCAACCCCTAGGACTTTATCGATCTATTTTAGTTTATTAACTATCTTTGTCCATACGACTATTTACTTCTTTTCAGTCATCGGTTTAATGGCCCGAGACTTATCATGACGCATGCAGCATAGTTAGTCATATGAAACTCATCATGATCTGATCTTTAACTGCTGCTAGAATTCACAGGTGGCATCTAGATGTCTTATGTTGCTGTAGGTCACAACAGCCACAAGTATTTTCAATGTTTAGTCACACAGAGATGCATTGGGGATGACGGTTTTGTCACTCCAATGACGCCTAATCAGAGCAGCTATACATCGAAGACGATTGCCTTGATGTAAGAATCCCACTATATGCGTGACTAGATCGCGTCTCTCAGCGTCACTAGTGAGTGCTGTGCCTCTCCCCGGAATGGTAAGTTTTAGTGATCACCGGGTTGAGTATTGATTTTTCATGCGTGAACTTGTGACAAGGAGGGCGTGAAAGGGCAACACAACTCCGCAAGCTGATTTTGCTATTCGGGATACATGTTGGGATTTAGCAGGTTCACTGAAAACTTAGGACATCCTCGATGGGTGCCTTTATTTATTCCTAATCCAGCTTTCGATTTTCTTCATTATTTGTAGCTGCGAAGTTCGCGTACCTTCACAGCCTATCAAGCGCGGCAAAATTGCATTTGTTGGTAAGTTGTAATTCCATCATCCTGGATCCTGCTTTCGCTTTGACCCAGTAACCAATTTTGACAGCTCGCGTGTGCACTTTACTGGGGGGAAGATCCAAATAAACGAACAGTTTTTGAATTTGTACAACTTTTTCTGCTACTTTGTGAGCTAAGGCCCTCTATCGCTGTGTGGTCTTGTCTCTCAAGCCAAGCTAAACACTGCGGGGTAGTCTTAGCGATCCCTGGGCTCTTGGGGGCTTGGTGTCGTTGCGGCAGACTAAATAGTCTTAGGAAGTGGGAATTCTACGATAAGCGAGCCAGTCAGGTTTAGGCTACTATGGTTAGATCATGTGTTGAGTAGCCTTTACTGGGTGAGAACGGTCGAAAGGCGGACAATCTGTGGACAGGCGGCGAAGTATGGCAGCCTCCCTGGACTAGAACGGACATGGCTCAGTCATCCAGTCAATGACGCTCCTGCATTGAAGCTATTGCCTCCAGTGAATAGCTTCCCATATCACACTTCATCAGGCAACTAGAATGACTTTACAGCAATGAACTGATTAGTTCTTTTCCCCCAGGGTCCGGCTACAGCTCCCCCCGTTTCCCAATTCATGGCGGTAGAGGCCGCAGTAGCTGTAAAACAAACGTATTCCCGATAGTATTCATTAACTGCACTGAAGTTGTTGGATGGAACCCAGCCTTTCCAGTGAGCGTTGCTTTGGTGATAAAGATGTCCGTTGGTCTTTTACCCAATCGTTCGGCTGTAGCTCCCTTCCGGTGCCTAACTGCCATGCCACCAGAAGGAGGCATGAGGGCCAAGATACTGTAAGCTCCCCCCCCCCCAAGCCTAGACAGGGGAAGTCAAGAGGCAGAGGTCGGTTTCGAACCACGGAGCTTCCGGTCAGTAAATCCGCGTTCTAAGCACTGAGCCATCTCATCCAATGTCCGAATACTAACACACAATACATTAACTGTAAAGAGTTCGCTGCGCATGTTTCACAGCTAACATCCCAGTTTTCACTCTGTTCAAAGCAAATATCGTCTATCGTGCTTTTCAGGTAAAACCCATTTCAAACCTGGATATTGGGTCGGTGTGCAGTATGACGAGCCTTTGGGGAGGAATGATGGCAGGTGAGCGTATTATCACCATCCATGGTAGCTATGCCTATTGTCACTACTCTATCACTGTGTTCAGCGGTCTTGCCCACAAGGACTGTTTCTCTAAAACGGAGTGCACATTTTTTGGGGTTGCAATACGGAGAAACCGATGACAGTAGGGCAGTTTATTTCTTGGGTTCAGTCCTAAGATTGTTGCAGGGTTTGCTGCACTCCATCACTTTGCTCTGGATCTCAGTGGATTCAGTAGCCAGATTTGCGCCCACAGTACATCCGTTTTACCATGTTTCGAACCTATGGAATGCAATGTCTCAATAAGGAACAAATAGCTATCCACCACTTCGCTGGCAATGGCTGGGCGAAGACTTCATATTCAGAGGGGAACCATTACAGTAGACACTTGTCAGACCGCCCGGAGCTAACTGAAATTTCGCGGGCCGTTCGATGTTTGTTACAAACTGAGGAGCGCGGGAATTGGAGAGTCATTAGATCCGTTGGAATGCGAAACCGTCGACAAGTCAAGATCTCTTGCCCAGACTGGTGCGATAACTTTTTCTGTTCGTTTCGCTTATAACCTCACTCCTTACCATTCATTGTTTGAGGTTTTTATACGCCGACTTATGTTCGTCCCCGTTTGTTTTGCAGCGTCGATGGAAAGAGATACTTTGAATGCCCAGACCGATACGGCGCGTTCGTCAAACCCCAGTGCGTGACCGCAGGTGACTTTCCAGAATTCGGCATTGATGAATTGGACGAAATCTGATCGACGTGATTTCTACCAGGGTCGCTGATCCGCCCCCTTTTACGATCTACTCTACATACCAAGCACGAAACCAATTCCAGCGGTTCATTATTCTGTGATTATTGATAATAAGGAAACAAGAACAATAACACAGATCTTCGTTGATAAGTTGCGTCTCCTGATAGTATATGGTTAGGGTTGTGGTGTTCGCAAACAGCCAACCTTCAGAGCACATTTCGATCGAGCGTGATAACAATAACACAGATCTTCGTTGATAAGTTGGTTGTGGTGTTCGCAAACAGCCACATTTCGATCGAGCGTGATAGTCCGAATAGCACGAGATCCCGCGTCGGCAACCCCGCTGACTCCCAAATACCTAATGTGGTAGGATTCGGAGCTATGAAGTTCATGAGGTCCACATTAAGCACGTCTGTCTTCAACAGTAACCGGTGAAAACGCAACTCTAAAGCTAAAATCATTCAGTCCATCGCACGCACTTCTTTGCCAGCTGCCACATTAGAAACCAATTGATCTGCCTGGTCGCTTTGTCAAATAAGAGCAACAAACTTCGTTGGACACACGTAGCTTCTAGGCGTTGCGAATTTTCTGTTCTGAGCTGAACAAACCACCGTGTAGGATTCCTTATACCGATGGTTACTTTTGCTGAGTGAGTGATAGGCCATCCACGGAGGTCAGGTGAACCAAAATACCATAAAAATGTCCAATGCTAGACACCAGAAACTAAGAAGACTCGAATTGTTGACCGACAGGATAATCACGTCATAGAGGGTGCTACGAATTGTCCAATACCGTCGTAAGATTGACGCCAGATGAAGATAGCTTAAAGTTGAAAAATAAAACGTTCAGCTGTAGCACCATTTCGGTGTCTAGCTGCCATGTTGCCCGAAGCGAGCACGAGGGCTAGGATACTACCAGGTCGCCTGAGCCTAGACAGGAGAAGTCGAGATGCAAAAGTCAGGTTCGAACCACGGACCTTCCGATCGGTGAATCCGCGCACTTGAGCCATCTCACCCCCATACATGCAGTATCTCTACTCCTGGCACTACTGCGCTCGACTCACATTGGGAATCACGCCTACCTCTTGACGAGACATTCATTTTGACCGTATTATACAGACTACCGGTGATCATGATTGAACGAACAGTGTTCATATCTCAGTAGCCGGTCAGCGGAAGCAAAGTCACCGTTCCCATGTCCAGGGAGATTCTCGTTGCCTCGAACTTCGTCCCCGGGAGGAAGTTATAACAAATACCTTACAAGACACACCATCATACGAAAATGGCATCTCTTGGTCAGTGTGTGCGTAAGCGTCTGGTTGTGGACTATCAGGTCGAAAGCGAACCACCCCATAACCAACAGACCGTGTTCAGAAACCACAACGAGCACTTGTAAGCAATGAGTGACACCTCCATAGAAAAACGGAGTAGGCGTATAGCCTATGGTACAGGGCATCAAATCCCACGGCCACACTGTGGATTACTCATGGACAATAGGCTCATAAAATGACCTCGATAAGACGTCAGAAATACCCAATAGCCGAAGCCAACCGAGAGACAAGAAAGTTGTAGCGGATTTGTTTGCATAGTGCTTTGTACAAAATAGGCAGGTGTCTGTCAATAACTGAATCATTCTATCTACAGGTTAGGGTGACGGCGGAGACCACATGGGTGTTGTGCAGAAGATTCAGGACTTGTCCAGGAATTCTTTAGCCTCATTGATTTTCGCGGCCAGGTAAGGGGACCCACCTGAATAAACAATGAACATAAAAAATTGGGATTAGGTGGGATAATTAATGCCTTCGTGCCTACCATCAGATGCATACCTATGTGTGGACCGAACGAATACGCCTTTCCGGAATTTTCTTGTCGTATTTCTGCGTAAATTGCTCGGTGAATCCGACAGAAAATCCGATGTGAAGGCGACGATATTTTTCTACCTCAAGAAGTGGATTTGAGAAATGAAGGCGAAAAGTCTAAGAGCTACTAACAAGTTGCCCATCGACGAAATTGCGATAATGTCACTTCAGATAGTAGGTGACTCAAACTGCCATCCGACCTATGGGAGCCTCGGGCACTTCGTTGCTCTTTCCATGTGATTTGGTTGTTGGCATTGGGCAGAAAACAGCGCGAAGAAAGCTTTTCAATCGTATTTCGATGCTATGCTATACTTTCTCCCGTAACTTCACACGTGTGATACAGGAATCGCAAATCGTATAGTGGTTCTAGCCACCAAAGTGTCGATAGAGGAGCTGGACTGCGTACCAGGTGGTCAGTACATAATTTCTATACAAATAAATCCATTAGAGGGGACCGATCGGGTGGCACGTCGTTGAGTTCGCAGCTGGGGTATTTTGTCACTGCCTGAGCCTTGATGTATTTGTATAAGGTTAGTATCTGGGGGGGGGGCGAGTACAACGGTGAATGGTTGCCACCGGTATCGCGGTCAGTGACTCCAGCCCTCTCTCAAAATCATCCTAATCACTGATGAATGAGTAGCTTTCCATATGACGGTTGTTTAGGGACAGCGACGTATGATCCATTTGTTCAGCTCACTCGAAACTACAATTTCGGAGACAAGTATCAGCGCACGGGATTGGTAAGTCAACATTCGGGCGGATTGGTCTTAGTGAAAACGATCTGATACCATGAACGACATTTGATGTTAAAGGTGAGAACGTACATGACAAACAGACAAGGATGGTTTCAAATGGAGAACCGATGGAAACGACCTGTAAGACCAACGGAACATTCCGCGTAGACTTCGGGTCAGGCACCGACGCTAAGTTATCAGTGATATATTTTCGCTGTACGCCAAAGCGACTCATCATACCCACACAGTCAAATGAAACTGGTGAATTATGAAACCGCGCAAGAGATAGCGCGACAAGTCTGTTGGAACGAATTCTTTTCCTCTTTAGGGTACATGCACCGGGTTAAAGATTTTGGACATTTGCTGTGATAGAACGAGGAGGGCATCAAATGGGCATTGTAGCTGTCTAAAAAACACCAGCCTACGATCAGCTGTTCGTGACGGTAAACACTTTTCAGTGGATGCAAACCGAAGGAATCACAAGGGCTGAGATACTATCAGGCGGCAGCAATCGAGAGTGTCCAGCACCAGAAACTGCGTTGGTTGGGACATGTGTTACGTATGCCGAACAGTGTGCTGTTTTCCATGCCCAACTCAGAGTGGCGTAAACAGAGAGGTGGCCAACCCTTGACTTGGCAGAGGAGTATGAAGGAGATCACAAAACGCTTGGGTGCTGTCGGTGCTACTCGCCTTCCAGGATGGGGACCGCGTGATCCTCACTGTGCCTGGTTAGAGACACTACAAGATATGGCTGCCAACCGATGTCAGTGGCGTTCTTGTCGTCAGTTTTTATCCAGATCGCCTGAGTGAATGTATGGAGGTGTAGGCACCTCGGAATGATTGTGTTAAGCTAACACTAAGTCCCTCCCCCGTCCACCTTTACTCTTTTCTTTACAATAAGGCTTTTAAATAAGTCATGGTTGTACCGCAGTGAAGCATCGGTGTTGAACACTGATGTCATGCTGTCGATGATGATGACGATGATGAATGGAGAAGCCAGGGTTGCGTTTGAACCAAGGACCTTCCAGTCAATAGCTTGACGCCTTAATTGCTGAGAACCCGATTTGTCATAATCGGACACAATTAGCGAGGAATGGCATAGGGGTTCATATGGCTTCTCTGCACTTAGAAGATGGTAGTGAGCAGCTGAGCACAGCAGACTTGACAAGAAGGCTGTCATGTTCACAAGCCCTGGAATTTCAGCACGCAGGTTAGCGCTACATTTGAACCCGACCAACAGGGGGTGTTGGTGAGTCATGCGCCTTGTTTTTGTCCGAGCATAACAGTCAATAAACGATGATCCATTGAGAGTGAGGTGATTAACTATCAAATGCAGACATCTTTTCTAAAAAATTAATCTACAGTGCAAAAAGTAGCGATGTTTTTTTCAGGTATATATATACTTCACACACTTGTGCATATCACTTATGAATGCAGGTGTAAGGCGAAGTGCAATCGGTACTGCGGCTACTCACGCAGAAGCCACCACTTGTGCTCTGCTTGCATAACCACTCTCTTTTCTACTAGGCACAGTGTTATACGTATCCTTAGTGCTGTAGTGGGCTACAACACAGTGTCTACCGAGCACCCAAGATGGGGAACAGCAAAATGAGCATGTTGGTTGCCATGAGCTACAGAATGGAATGTGACTACTCACCACGATCAGGATGGTTGAGCAGCATGATTCGTTTGTGGGCTTCTCGGATTTTCGTTTTTGACGACTGTTGGCTGGAGGGGAAAGAGAATTAGTAGGCAGCGGCAGAAACCCGTGAGACAACTAACGAAGATAATCTTTGTGGAAATCGGCACACCAGTGATATGAAACAGGACTCCAAAAGTGCATACCACACTACTGATCTCCCTCTATCCAAGCTAGCAGAAGGATAACTGTATTTTATCTATGTATTTGAGACGTCATGTTATTTGGGAGTTAACCGAGCTCCAAACTACAGAGGAGAGTTTAGTAACCTCTAACTGCTTGGGAAGTTATATAAAATGTGATCCGGAGTGATAGTTCCACACGGTTTGGTCGATTCTCTTTAGAGCCGGGACTTGATACAGCTACGAAGAACTTTCATCGGCTACTTATGAGTAGTCTATTTGTGACCAGAAATGCACACCTCGTCACTCCCATGTTTGTTAGTTGATCAGCGAATGCACAGATGTACCAAAGTAGTACACATGGACGTTATCCATTTCGCTGCGGTCCATCAGCCTTGGCCATGGTGCTTTCCCCATATCGTCACCCCATTGAATGTAAAAATCTGCCCGTGGTGGTGCTACTGGCAAAGACGCGTGAACGTTGAGGCGCCGCTGTCACTCCTGTGGAGTATGTACAACCACCATAGATCCTACAGGTCTTCTGTGCAAATAAAAACGATGATAATCCAACATATCCATCAGCGTTTGGAGTACGACTACCCGGTGAGCTCCGACGGGATCGGACGAATCACTCGGTCTTGAAAGGATTACTGCTAGCTCGGATAGCTTAGTGGTTAAGGCGCGAACTCACTGAGTGAAAGGTCTGTGGTTCGAACCCAACCTCAACATCCCAACTTCTCCTGTCTAAGCCTGGGCGACGACGCAGTATCTCGGCCCTTGTACTTCATTCGGACGGCATGGCCGATAGGCACCGAAAAGGTGTTGCAGCTGGACGACTCTTATCATTATCAGTATATTCCACGTCCGACCCTCAAGAAGTTGCCTACGGTTAAGTGTTCCTTGAAGTACCCAACTCTGTACGACGCCAAACTAGAGCCTGGCAAAATGCGAATGAGACATTTGATAAGATGGACGGCCGATCGAGCTTGTCTTCTCGTGCGCTGCAGCGTACAGCTACCAATCAATATTACTACCGTTCCTCAGTGACCACTCTGTAATGTAGCTATAGGCTCGTGGAATGTCCCTTCTGCCTTATCATTTTATCCCTATTTTCATAAACCAGTTGTGGCAGCGGCCATTGCTACGTCTTGAAAACCAACCTCTGATTTTTGACAAGTGAGGACACTAGTAAGATGGAGGCCATGCTCATGTTGGAACCGTTGCTAGGAGAACTGCGTGTTATCGATAAAATGTCTACTGGCAGCCCGCCCCGGTTGCCGACATTGGTTGTCACTAGGCGAACCAGCTAACAAGCCAAATATGCATTGTACGACCGCGCCAATGAGTATATGACTCACGCAGTGGAAAGGCGCACTCCACTGGGCAAGTTCAGTGCCATGTGGGATAACCTAGTATTTACAATAAACCGGTTGCCAAGAGAAGGCACTCGGGATCGGACGTTCCACTTTTGATGGAAACCTTTGACGAAATGGCTGCATCAGCGTCTCTCTCTGTAGTGTGGACGCCATACCTCGAAAGACACACGCGATGAACACCGTCGAATGCACTCCGAGAGGGAGTTTTTACCAATACACTGCAGTCGGAAAGCAGGCTGAAGACAACGGAATAAGGGGTCGAGAATTTGGACACCAGCCAAACCACAAGGGATGAGGGCTGGGATACTCAGTTTGCCCAAGCCTATACAGGATCAGTCGAGATGGGGAGGTTGGGTTCGAACCACGGACCTTCCATTTCGTAAGCTGGCGACTTAACCACTGAGCTATCTAGGGCTCTTAAAAAAAGCAATAAAAACCGTCTAGGTATGAACGTTTGGAGTAGTATGGCCGGTTTCTTGCATGCTCCATTTACACGGGAACAGCAAAGCCGCATACATGTGCGGTTGAATAACGATTCAACCGAAGACCATGCATCTAGTTTGGAGTCCTCAGGAGCTATACCTTAGCCGAAGAGACTGAATGTACAAAAGAAGGCTCTTATCCTTCCCCCGAGTGGACCGTCAACAGAACTACTGATCAACGTGCGCTCCACAGAGACAATAACAGAATAGACAGGTGAGATCCTACCCCACAAATGTAGGGCGATGATGGTTGGTATGGTCACTGGATATGAATCCACTTAACTTCATCCGAAATTACGTGTCGAGACAAAGCTACGAATCCGCGCTTTTAAGCATTTAGGCGTTGGACCAATTAGGTCTAAAGAATGGGGCTATCATTTGGAGTTAAATGTCGAATACTTCACGTAATTTTTTCAATAAACTTTATGCTGCTGCAACAGACTGTCTGAGTTGTTTCGTCAAACAGGCCTCTCTTAGCCCACACGAAGTGTAATTCTGCTGAGCGTTCATATATTGACTGGGCTATAAAATCACCGACTGTCTACCAAATCCTTCTGAAACAATGACTTCCCAATCGATTTCAACTTTTTTTCAATTGATTGAAAACTACGGTATCCTTTCAAGGCACAGCCACCTCCCAGCAAAAAAAAGCAAGAGAGCCCACATAGGTGAGATGGCCCAAGTGTTAGAGCGCGGAATTTACTGACCGAAAGAAAAAAAGCAAGAGAGCCCACATAGGTGAGATGGCCCAAGTGGTTAGAGCGCGAATTTACTGACCGAAAGGTCCGTGGTTCGAATCCAACCTCTGCTTTTCGACTTCCCCTGTCTAGGCTTGGGCAGCCTGGCAGTATCCCAGCCCTCGTGCAACTTTCGGGTGACATGGCAGTTAGGCACCGAAAGGGTGCTGCAGCTGGACGGATCTCAAAAAAGTTGATAGGTTTAAATGCCGTCTTTGAAAGCATAGAATACGATCAACCGGGGAGCCATAAATCTGAGGGCATGCGTGAAAAAGCTGTATTGAAGTTGTACTGCTTGCGTGATTAGAATGTCACCAGAGTCAAAGGTATTAAATCCAGATCAATCAGGGTCAACTTAGGATGGAGAAAGTGATATGACGGCACATCAAGGCTTCCAAGATGCTGAAACACTTTTCCCGGATGAGGAGGGAACAACAGGTCAGCAGACATGTGTACTGAACAACTTACCTGACACCCAATATCAGCGCAGCTTCTCGTCGAGTCATCTTAGGTTCGAATCCTCCACGGTAGTATTTCGAAGTGGTCTAATGATGAACGGCGAGAAGAATGAGTAAGTTAAAAAAAAGTAGTCCGTGAGTAGCATTCATACTTGGCGAATGAAGAGACGACCCAGTCGATTTGCGGGCAGGCAGATATGGGGAAGTACACAAACGTTGCTATGGAAGCGTGGGCATCCCGATCCGCGTGCCCATTTAACCCTTCTGAGCAGTACTGAAGTGCTAACAGCGTATAAAGTTAACGCTAGAACTCTGTTGAAAAAAGTATGCAGGTCAGGAGCTGTCGGGCCAACATTACCAAAGTGAGCGTAGCTGCTGAACGCAGCAAGACATCCAGACCAAATAACCTGATTCCGAAAGATGAAGGGCTCCAACCTATTACGTGGAAACTTCTGCCAAAAAGTCACGTTACTTAGAAAAAACATCGGCCCAAAAAGTTACCTAAACATGAAATGGGGTTCTACTATGCGTGCCATTTGAAAAATAGATATAAAACAATATTATAAAGCATGTTAGTGCTATCATCCCTCTGTGTGCGTCATCAGAACCAATCTTCAAACAGGGAAAGANGAAACGAAAACATCCCCTGTTCAAATTATTCTATTCAACGGATCATGGCTCCGGGAATCGTCTAAAGGTTTTAGTGTGAAACGAACATAAGCGACTTGAGTAAATTGTTGATAGTATGAGCGGAATTGAAAAAATTTGTTTGAGACTTCGTTCTGCCAGTGAAGCCAGTCCATGATGAGGAGCTGGGAAACACTGTACAGTTGTTGCGTCCGTACTGGGAATCATCAACAAAGCGCATCTCACGAAACTCCATGGAGTCTCGACCTCCGGCTAGTATTTCGAACACTTAATGGCTCGGGCACGAGCACCTGAGTGGCATTGTGATCAACTTTGATTAACACTGCCGATCGGTTTGAACTACAAGCCGGAGTTTCGTGGGGTGCACACTGTTGGCAATTCCAAATAAGAATGAAACAGCCGTACAGGGATTCTCGGCTCTTCAGAATCGATTAGCTTCATTTACAGAACGAAATCTTCATCACCTTAAATAGTTCCGGAACCAAGAACTATAGGTAATAGGGTTAATTGCATTTGAAGCCGCATGGTTTCTAGCTTGACCAGCAATACGCAATACTCCTCAAGGTCGGGTTTTTGGTGGTACCTAGTACCCTATAAACCAACCAATCTTGGAGAGTCGGCGTTGTGACAACAGCTCCCACTATATTCAGCACCGCATGAGTTGCGGTTATGGCTGTGACTGCAACACCCACCCACGGATGCACCAATCTAGGTTATCGTGTTTTACCAGCTATCAAAAGAAACAGAGGTTAAGACTGTGGGATGTTGCCCAAGCTTCTGAATCCTGCAGGCGGTTATTACGCTATCCGGACTGTAATCAGTGTCACTTAAACAAGTTTCAGTGGGTCCGTTGAGATTAGTCCACTTCATTAACGGACCCGTGAGAATACGTGAACGCACCGTTTTGATACACGTATGGCGATCAAGTGGTGTTCAGTTCTTCCGAGGCACGCACAGCGTGGCGTTTGAGGTACGCTCAGTAATGATTATTTCTACTAGGATAAAGACAACTCTACAGACTGATGCCACTTCTACACAATTCAGAACAGCCTCTGATGAGCATCGTTTATGCTGTGCAAGATCTTCCACATGACATAAGTGATCATTCGGTTCCAATTCACGTGATGACCGGTTTGGAAACACCGAACATACTGAAGCGAACGATGGCAAAACAGGACACCAGGAACATGCGTTTACTGTAAATCCTGGTTTTATGGACATAAACATTATGATAGAATCAGAGATTAAACTTACAGTGTGACGTTTGTGAGGTAATTTAGCCTGTTGAACCTAGTTTTATGCAACAAGTGAGCACCGTGTGATTTGTTACGTGTTAGGGCTCCAATTGAAACACTGCGGCACTGAGAATTCTCACGTCTTGGATAGAGTAACTCCAGGCTTGAGAATAGTAAACTGTTGACCAATGACAAGCATTGTCCTCATGGCTCCTCTGTGTTTTGGCATTCTATCAAAATGGACGTTTGTTTCTATTACGAGCGTGGCACCGTAGTTACGGAAGCCATAATTTTAGCGCGGTCCCCAGAGATTTCATTAGCACTCAAGTAGTTGCGTGTTATCAAGGACTATTAACAGCCACGACGTATCCAAACATCAAGGGAGTCAGTGTCATGCACCGCACATGCATTTCAAAGTTAGGGGACTGTCCGTACTCAGGATCTTATGATATAGTTCAGCTGTAGCACCCTTTTGGTGCCCAACTGACATGCTATCAGAAGGAAGCACGGAGGTTGGGATACTGCCAGTTTGCCCAAGCCTAGATAGGGGAATTTGAAAGGCAGGGTCGGATTCGAACCGCGGACCTTCCGGGCAGTAAATTCGCGTTCTAACCACTTGAGCCATCTCGCCTCTCTTGTGATATAACAGCCCAGCGAAGTCATGAATGCGGAAACATACAACGGATTGTTATAATTTCAGTACGTGTGGGCTTCAAAGTGGCTCTAGCAGCTTCGTAAGAATGGGTCAGAAGCTTGGAAGAATCGTGTAAAATCCCGACTGTCGGCCACTTTTAATGTGGGGTGCAAAAATTGTTTGGGATTAGCAGCTATTGTAGAGCAGCTTGGCATTTTTATTCAAACTCCCCCTTGGACTTGGTGTCCATCGACGACAAACATGCTTTTCTTCAGAAAGTCAAAAAGGCTTGCCTCTAAGCAAAGCCAGGACGTCCGATCCGATACATTACTCATTACCTCTGGATTTTCTGTTTTGGTAACAGTCGACAGGGTTATGGTAGTGGAGTGGTCACGTGAGACGTCATTTATCCATTTTCCATCTGGGTTACGATTCGAATGAACAGGTACATGCACAATCAGTGGTGCACAACTTATCAGGTCAGCTTATTCCGGACACCACACATCTGCAATGGGCATCAACCATGAAACTGAATATGTTATAGATCATAAGGAATGACCAGGTGGGTTATCAGGACTGAATTGGTTCTTTACGTTCCGTTACCTGCCGCTAGCAGCAGCCGTTTCTTGAGAGAGAAAGAGAGCCTTTCACCCACAACTTCCGAACCGAATTGGCATCTCACTGATGGGTGAATGCGACTGCTGAACTGTTTTTCTACGTGTTTTTACACAATAGGGTGGTATCTGGCACAGATGCATACAAGGGTTACCTTACTAACAAACCCAATCTTGTGAGCTGTGTGCGAAATGGTGGAAGGGCGAGAGCCTAAAAAGTATGCTAAAGGATATCACAAAAAGGATGATGATCAAGGGTAGACCTTCAGCAAGCTAATTGTTAGGTGAAGGCCGGATAAGAGAGACGTAGGAAAGATAACAAAACGGAAGCAACTTACGAATCCTGACAGCTTTAGCAAGTTCGGCACCTGGGAAGCTTTAATCTGACGGGTGACATAACGTCCTGAAGAAAAGGATCACTCGACATGGATGGCTTACCAACCAATCCTACTGTTAAAATACCTAGGCCCACCAATACGGGAGTTGACTGTGGGGATAGTAAGTGCGTTATTAAAGGTAGAGACTCACCATCTGGAGTTGACAGAATTCCAAACAAAGGCTTCGTGAAAGACAACCTAAAACATGAGGACAGGTTGGACATAAATGTGCCGATTACTCGCACGCATGATCACCATTGACAACAGCAACAGTACAAGAAAAGTGGTCATTAAATGCCGTACTCAAGTCCCACCCATATATATATATATGATAGGGTCTGAACACGGTATGGAAAACGCATATCCAGGTAGGCGCGAGAAGCTATGCAACGCGCCGCAGGTGCTGCCAAATAGCGAGTCATTCAAAAAAGGCTGAGACTTCCCAATACAGCTTAGACTATGCGAATGTGCGCAACGCAGCTTGAATCCTTATAAGTTACGGACGGACCATCGAGGTCCTGGTGTCATCCGTTCCGTCAGTGTAATACCGAACCTCCCGCAGTGGAGCTGACATGCCACCCGACGGAAGCAAGGCGGCTGGGATACCGCCAGGTTGCCTCCAGTATAGCACCATGCAAAAGTTACCGGGTGTCGCCCGTTGGTACTCCTGCAGCGGGGCTAAGCCAGTGTCACTAACTGCTGAGGAGTTGTCTCAAGGTTCCCATTCCAGGAGACGGCAGTTGTCGACCCGAATGAGTTGTCTGTTTAGTGTTTTCACACTTCGTTGCCAGGCCAATTAATTCAATTCAGTTTATCAGCTATAAACCGTGTACCATAGACACATTAGTTCCAGCTGCTACAGTTTTGATCACTGGAAAACGGTAATTTGGACCGTAGAACCAAGCACTGGAGGCGAAGGCACGTTCACTTTGTTTGGAAATTGGGCAGCTACGCACTGAAGGCGATAGCTTCGATACATGAGCGCCACTGACTGCGCGATTAGACCATTTCTGCCAATGTCATTAGCCACTGGTGATCTGAGTCCCTGGGTCCCCATCCAGGGAGGCGGCAGTTGCCTAAACGAATGAGTTTACTGGTTAGTGTTTTCATACTTTGTTGCCGTGTCATATACTGTATAACCCTCGGTCGCTTCCACTCAGCACAGGGCTGAGCGAAAAGAGCTCTGCAACGCTACCGTCTTCTTACATGCAGAGTACATATCCTAACCAGCGTAGCCTATGAAACGTGAGTAATTCATCTATCGCGGGAGAGTTCCTTCCCCAGCATTACTACTCTGATGTTCCCACCAGACCTGACCAATGCTTCGGAGACATCGACGATCAAACACTGGC